AATTTTATTTTATTATTATCTTTTTTGAGATGAGTCTCACTCTATGGCCCAGGCTGAGTGCAGTGGTGCAAACTCAGTTCACTGCAACCTCTACCTCCTAGGTTGAAGCAATTCTCCTGCCTCAGCCTCCCGAGCAGCTGGGATTACACGCATGCACCACCAAGCCCAGCTAATTTTTGGTATTTTAATAGAGACAGGGTTTCACCATGTTGTCCCCAGGTTAGTCTCGAACTCCTGTGCTCAGGCAATCCGCCTACCTTGGCCTCCCAAAGTGTTGGGATTACAGGCATGAGTCACCACATCGGTCGAAACTAGCATGGCTTTGAGCTGTCTTTCATTCATCCACTCAGTGGATGTTGTCAGGTGCTTACTATGTGCCAGGCATTATGCTAGGCACTGAGCCTGAGCACAAGCATGATCCCTGCCGTCATGAGAGAATCGGAAATCAGTCAAAGAAGCATACAAATAAATGTAAAGTTTCAACCCTGGCAACTTCTCTAAAGGAGAGAGAGGGAACTTAACATAAGCAAGGTGGCCTGGGAAACTTCCCCAAGGAAGTGATGACTGAGCTGAGGTCTGAAGGAAAACCAGGAGGTGACCATGCCAAAGGGTAGGGGTTGGGGAGTAACACAGGAGCTGTGGAAGAAGGGAGTGTGGAGCTCTTGAGGTACTGAAAGCCAGTCTGGCTGGCGCAGAGAGCAAGAGGAAGCATGTGGCCCAACCTCCCTGAGAGGCCATGGGAGATAGACCATGCAGGCCCTGGTAGGCAATGGCAGGGATTTTTGGTCTTCATCCTAAGGATAATGGGAAATTATTGTTGTGTTTTGAGCAAGGAGATGAAAACAGATTGCTATTTCTAAAAGACCATGCTGGCCAGGTGTGGTGGCTCACACATATAATCCTAGCACTTTGGGAGGCCAAAGTGGGAGGACTGCTTGAGGCCAGGAGTTCAAGACCAGCCTGGCAATAGCAAGATCCTTTCTCTACAAAAATAAATAAATAAAAATATTGGCCAGGCCTAGTGGCACACACCTGTAAGCACTGGCTACTCAGGAGGCTGAGGCAGAAGGATCACTTGAGCCAGGAGGTCAAGGCTGTAGTGAGCTAAGATCATGCCACGGCACTCCAGCCTGGGCAACAGAGTGAGACCCTGTCTCAAAAAAAAAAAGAAAAGAAAAGGAAAAAAAAGTCACCCTGACTGCAGGGAGATGAACAGAGGGGAAGGTGCCAAGCAGATGGAGGAAGCCAGCTCAGAGCTGCAGCAGGAGGCCAGCTGCCTGGACGATGGTCCTGAGTACTGTAGGTGTGGCAACGTGCCCACATCCAGAGAGGTTTAAGATACTTAGAGCTGATGTTTATTTAATTTGTAGGAAATAGTCTTGACTATAGCTGGGTAGGACTCCATTTCGGAATGTAAGTTAAATATAAAAACTTATGACTGACTAAATTTTCTGTTTTTTTCTCCTATGTAGGCAATTGGTTGAAGGAACAGAAGTGCTTAAACAACTAGAATTAGTTCCAACAGAGAATGAAAGACCAATACATATGTGTAGAATTACTGACAGTGGAGATCCTTATGCTTGATTTTCATATCAATATTTTCTGTGATAATTTATTACTGTGTATCTGATCAGCTGTTTGTAGATTTAATTAAACAGTACTTGATAAATTGTAATTTGAAAGCCATGGCAGACACTGTAGGTTGCCTCATCGACACCCAATACCTCCCCATCTTCCTTTCCTGTCATAGAGACTGTGAAAGGACAATACTCAGTTTCCTAGACTCCTTCTCAGCCACGGGTGGCCACAAGAGATGGTTGTGGCCAGTGAGACAGGAGTAGAATGCCAGTGGTCCTGCCCCTTCCCCTTCATCCTGTCTGGAATGTGGAGAGGTTGGAGCTGCAGCTGTCATCTTGTGGCCATAAAGAAAAGGCCGAGGCCAGGCTCGGTAGCTCATGCCTGTAATCTCAGCACTTGGGAGGCCGAGGCAGGTGGATCACGAGGTCAAGAGATCGAGACCATCCTGGCCAACATGATGAAACCCTGTCTCTACTAAAACTATAAAAATTAGCTGGGCATGGTGGCATGCACCTGTAGTCCCAGCTACTCGGGAAGCTGAGATAGAAGAATCGCTTGAACTTGGGAGGCAAAGGTTGCAGTGAGCCGAGATTCTGCCACTGAACTCCAGCCTGGCGACAGAGTGAGACTCTGTCTCAAAACAAAACAAAACAAAACAAAACAAAAAAAACAAAAAAAACGGCCAAGTACTGCAGAGATGTCAGCCCCAATCTCTTGAGCTGCAGAACCAATACCAGCAACCACCTACTCTGGACTTCTTAGTATATGAGACTAACAGAGCCCTGTATTGTGGTGTTTATGTTACTGTTGGTTGAGAATTTTGTTACTTGTAGACAAAAAAAATTCTTAATTTAGCAACATACTTGATAGCCTAAGACATTTGTAATAAAATTATGTTCTTATTTGTAACTACATGTACTCCCGGGAGAAACTTGGTAAGTAACCAAATAGGATGATGCAAAAGAAAAAGCAATTCATTTTAATATTTTATTGTTTATACATAGCATTCAGAAAGGGTATCTATACTTTGGATGTTTTCATACATGACATGAACATCATCCTTATCTCTCTGAGCCATACCAACCCTGTGAAAACCAAGGGATTGTGTTACAGTCTCCGTGGTGGCTGACTCATGTGATGTTACTGGAGATTCAGCTTTATCACTACTCTGTAGTCTAAAGTTCTCAAGCTCATATCACCTGGGGAGCTTTTAAAATGTAACCTAACAGACCTTGTCCCTGACCTACTGAGGCAGAGTTCCCAGTCGGGCAGAGATTCTGTGTTTATTTGGTTCTTTCCCCAGGGTTCCCAGGCATGGGGCACAGATTCTGTGTGCATTTAGCTCTTTCCCCAGGGTTCCCATTTAGACAGCTGGGCACTAGTCATCTGGGAATCACTGCAAGGTATAAGGAACTGGTTCCAGCCCCCATGGTGTAGTGTAGTCAGCAGAGTGCTTGACTCTGCTGTTGGTGACCTTGCTCAGCTCCCGTTACACCACTACCCTATGCCCTTGCTCTGCCCAGACTGAGGGGGCTTTTCTTTTCTTTTTTTTTTTATTTTTTGAGACGGAGTCTCGCTCCATCGCCCAGGCTGGAGTGCAGTGGCGCAATCTTGGCTTACTGCAAGCTCTGCCTCCGGGTTCACACCATTCTCCTGCCTCAGCCTCCTGAGTAGCTGGGACTACAGGCGCCCGCCACCACGCCTGGCTAATTTTTTGTATTTTCAGTAGAGATGGGGTTTCACCATGTTAGCCAGGATGGTCTCGATCTCCTGACCTCGTGACCTGCCTAAACCTTGGCCTCCCAAAGTGCTGAGATTACAGGCATGAGCCACCACGCCCAGCCGAGAGTGCTTTTCTTACCCTAAGCAGAATGAGGTTTGTCTTCCAAGAACAATCTCTAGTTACATCAGTCTTAAAGGGGCAGGCTTCTAATAGATATGGGGCTTGCCAAAAGTAGGCATAGACTTTTTTTTTTCTTTTGAAATAATTATAGATTCACAGGAAGTTGCAAAAAAAAGTACAGAGCAGTCCTGTGTATCTTTCACCCATTTTCCCCAGTGGTTACACTTACAAAATGGTAGTACAATATCAAAACCAGGCAGTTGACATTGGTACAATGTGTGTATGCCATTTTATCATGAGTATAATCATGTAACCAATACTACAGAGAAAATATAGAACCTTTCCAGCACCTCAAAGATCCCCTTCCAGTACCCCTTTATAGTCACACCCGCTCGCCTGCACCCTGCCATCCCTAACTCCTGACAACCGGCATTTGCTTATTTTTATGACAGCTTTATTGCTATATGACATATGCTTTATGCTAAGACCCGAGGTGGATGGGAGGAAGCAGACCGCCTATGTTACATTCTCAATTGACCCAGAGCAGCATAGTGTTAAGAATGTGTGTGCTAGAGCCAGACTGCCAGGGTTCAAATCCTGGCTCTGCCATTCCCTAGCTGCACAAACTCAGGCAAGAACTTTTCTGTGCCTCAATTCCTTCATCCGAGAAACAGTGGTACCTACCACATAGGATTGTTTTGAGGGTTCCATGAATCAATAATTTGTGTAGAGAACCTATAAGAGGACCTGGTCTGCTGTAAGCGCTCGATAAATTTAATAACAAATTACTAATGTGTAACCTTCAGGGCTGGTCTGCTGTAAGCGCTTGATACATGTAATAATAAATTACTAATGTGTAATCTTCAGGGTGAAGCCTCAGAGCTTGGACTTTCTGAAAGCTCTCCAATGACTCTGACAGCCAGATTTGGGAATCCCTGAGGAGAGTCTCCCTCTTCATGTACTCGCAGACTTCTGGGCAGTCTGAGAACTTGGGTGATTTGTCTGCAGCTTCCAGACTCTCTCACTGGGCCTCTGCCCAGGTTCCTCAGGTCACACTGGGGACATCTCAGACAAAAGGGAGATGGGCTTGCCACCAGGATTCAAAACAATTGGTGAATGAAAACTGATTCTTTGCAAGGAGCCCAGTTAAAACACATGGCAAGCGTTGCTCATGTAATAACAAGCAGCAGGGCGGTTCTTACTGGTGATGACCCTATGTATGAATGGCATTAGGCATTTTATCTGATGTTGTGAAAGAACTGGAATATTTGCGTGGGTGTAAGAAACTGATTCCAGCTCCCTTTGTCAGCAGCAATAGAAAGAACTCTGCCAGTCTTCTAAAGGATGGCGAGCTCATGGTCCCTTTGTTCACTCTAACTTTCCACTTCCAGGCTGCAGAAACCTCAACCACAGATCTATGCAGTGGTTCTTATCACCAGCACTTAAAAGTATACACAGGCCGGGCGTGGTGGCTCAAGCCTGTAATCCCAGCACTTTGGGAGGCCGAGACGGGCGGATCACAAGGTCAGGAGATCGAGACCATCCTGGCTAACATGGTGAAACCCCGTCTCTACTAAAAATACAAAAAACTAGCCGGGCGCGGTGGCAGGTGCCTGTAGTCCCAGCTACTCGGGAGGCTGAGGCAGGAGAATGGCGTAAACCCGGGAGGCAGAGCTTGCAGTGAGCTGAGATCCGGCCACTGCACTCCAGCCTGGGCGACAGAGCGAGACTCCGTCGCCAAAAAAAAAAAAAAAAAGTATACACACTGATACTTCTGTGCTAGAATGATTTGTATGTTTAACCTCCTGGTTGAAGAAACTGGTTGTCAGAAGGACTCAAAAGTTTACTCCAACGAACTCCACACGTAAGACTTTGATGTAACCAAACTGAAATACATTAATTAAACAGAAGAGATTCTAGATTTTCCCACATCTATAGATAGGACCATAAAGGACTTCTGATGATTTACACAAAATGCTAAGTTATATATCTAAACTTGCCCTAAATGCTGATATGGCAAAGTCAAGTACATACGCTGTATCTTATACTAGGCCATGTGAATAAGGGAGTGCATATCTAAACATTTTTTCTTCTATGGGGAGATTTCTTCTATGGGGAAGTATTTAAAATTCTATCCGAGGAATTTGTTTGCCCCTACTGCAAACAGTGCTGGTTATTTGTTAAGGAATGGATAGTCTGGCAACCTCAGGATTCCAGACCCGAGTTTTTATACATATTTTAAATGAAGCATATTTGTTTGAGAACCACCTGTCCAGCAATGTGATGGTCAAATCACTTAACCTTTCACTGTCCTCATTTGTAAAAAATAACAGAAGTTGAGTTGCTAGCTTTCTTCTGGCTCTAAAACTTCAGTGATTTTTCTGAGTAAATGTATAAAATAAAAATTTCTTAAGTGAAATGGGGGTACATCTGTCTCAGTGTTCTGAGGATTGAGATAGCAAGTGAAGGTGCTCCTAATAATGCTTGGCACACAGATATTCCGTAAGAATTAGTTTCCTTTCTGAAACATCTCCCCGCAAAAACCAGTCAAGCTACCACTAAGAGAATATCATCATCATCATTTCAAGAAATATCAAGCCCTTTTTATACTGAGTATTAGCAGTTCTCACTAACACCAGATTAACTGTCAATCAACTAATTCAAAGGTATAAAATTAAAATTGGTCTCTACCACACCTAGCAATATTCTCTCTTATGGAGATTTAATTTTTTAAACTATATTGATCTTACCATCCCCTACACTTACCAAAAGTGGAATCACCACCACTTAAATCTGGCAAGTCTTAAGACTTTCGTATATCATATGAAATATTGGTGACAAACTCAGTAGTAATGTATACAACATGAATTACAAGTTGCATATTTGATAGAGGGCTTTGTAAGTATGGTGATAAATCACAGGTTCTTTTACTTTAGCATGCGTCAGAATGCCGGGGCCTGTCAAACACAGATTGCTGGACCTCAGAGTTTCTGATTCAGTGGCTCTGGGTAGGGCTGGAGAATTTGAACAAGTTCAAGGTGATGCTGCTGCTGCTGCTACTGCTGCTGGTCTGGAGACCACACTTTAAGAACCGATGGGATATATTAGAGACAGATCTATGAGAGACCTGTGGCACACAGGTATGTAGAAAAGTCGTAACAGTAAAGTGTAACCTACAACAAGAGGAAGAATGAAGGAAACTGACAAGAAACCTTGATTTCATCAAGGCAGCAGAGGAGGTATGTTATGTTGAC